GAAATTAACCAAGCTGTAATTTGTATCATTGCTGCAATTGTATATTATCATTTGGTAATTATATTGAAATTACCATTACAGTAAATATGCTTAGTGAGTATATTTATATACAATTTCCTCTTTACGCGCAACGTACATTGTACCTAATTTGTAAGTCATTATACAGGGTTATTGGTACCCAGTGTGACAAATTTTTTTTGGTGTAAGTACAAAGTAAATGAAGTGTGATGATGCACATCAAATGTTCCAAGACTAAAAATTAGCTTCCCAAAAGATTATTTTATATTTTTCAAAAATAACCATGCTTTTAAACTTAATACAGCGATTTCTCAATTACCTGTATATGGATTTGAGTAAATAATGTCATTTTCGTGTTCTACATTAAATTTTGAACAAGAATAATATAAAATGACGGAGGATCAGTTGTAAAAACCCCATTGTAAATAGATTCAAAGATACAAATTAGGATGTTTGATAAAAATTAAAAAAAAGGTCCATTGCATTTTTCACACCCTGTATACAAGAAAGTGCCCGAATATGTTAAAAACTGCGCCATTTTATTAGCTTTCCAACCATATGCTACACCATTGAGCTTTATGTCTGCTTATGTACGCTTTAGTAGTTTGAAGACTACAAAGCATGGTGTCTTTAACATTTAAAACATAGAAAGTCGGCATGTATTAGGCAAAAGTTGTATTTTTGTTTCAGTTTGAACAGTAAAAACAGTAAAAAAGTTCCCTGTTTTCTGGTATTCAAACCACTAAAACAAACAAAAAATATCTAAACCTCAATAGTGTAGCATATGGTTGGAAAGCTTATAAAATGGCGCAGTTTTTAACATATTCCGACACTTTCTTGTATACAGGGTGTGAAAAATGCAATGGACCTTTGTTTTTTAAATTTTTATTAAACATCTTAATTTTTATCTTTGAATCTATATACAATGGAGTTTTTACAACTGATCCTCTGTCATTTTTTACTATTCTTGTTCGAAATTTAATGTAGAGCACGAAAATTACATTATCTACTCGAATCCTTATACAGGTAATTGAGAAATCGCTGTATTAAGTTTAAAAGCAGAACCATTTTGGAAAAACATAAAATTATTTTTTGGGAACCTAATTTTTAGACTTGGAACATTTGATATGCATCATCACACTTCATTTACTTTGTACTTACACCAAAAAAGTTTGGCACACTGAGTGCCAATCACCCTGTATTTAAATTACCCACTTAAATTGAAATCGTTAAAAAAATATAGGCTAATTGCACGAATACTAGAAAAATACCGGTATGGATCATAAACATAAACAAATTACGTTGTTGGCCCGAATCCTAAACTAATAGCATCGAACGTATGTTTTGGCAGTTCCATTTAAGTAATGTTAAATCATGTTTATTTTGGGCCAAAAACGTCATTTGTTTATGTTTATGATCCATACCGGTATTTTTCTAGTATTCGTTGCTAATTGTACGCAAAATTTATTACGTAGTTTTTAAATGAAGTGATTCAGTGAAACATATGGTGAAGACAAACAGTCTACTGCATGCACCACTGAATATTGTCGACGCCTTCAACTGTGTCTATACAACGACTGGTCTCGACATGTTCTGTGTGTTATCGACTGTACAATGAAGGAACTGTCAAGCTGTCACTGTCATGATTAATTATGGTTTTAATTATGTCATTAGCTATTTTGTGTTGAATAATATAGTTTAATAATTTAGACTCCAACGATATTCCATTCACTCGGAGAATTATGTTTTAACGTTAGGAATATGTTATCGAATACATTTCAAAGGAACTCAATTGTATTCATACTTCTTGAAATGTCCTTTTGAAGCTCTTTGTAATTAATCATATCAAACAGGCTTAATAAGGTACGGGATTTTTTTAAGCCTTTCCCAATTAAAGCTATTGAGAATAACTGTTTACAGACTAAAGGTCGATTCACACATATCAGTCCAGTCACAGTTCCGTTACAGTCCAGTTACAGTCCAGTCTCAGTTGCATCCGCAATTTATCAGTCAATTGTCCGTCAGTTGGTTTCAGTCAGTCTTCCGTCTCTAAAATTAACAGTAATGTACAGTGAAAATTTGAAAGTTATAAACCTATATTCTATCAAATTGTCGTTGCCCATCTTGTTGATTGTTACAAACAGTTCTCAAAATGTTAACACAACCATTTAAATAACATTAACACTATTTTTTAACCTCAAACAGTTCCGTCAGGCGTCCGAACAATCAAAAAATATCGTTGGAAAGAAATCTGAAATTGACTGACGGATGCCAGCAGAGTGACTGACGGAACTGCAACGGATGAGTGTAGATAGCGCTATTTGTTAACTGTGACGTGCCTGAAGTGACTGGACTGCAACGTGCCGTAACTGATGTGTGTGAATCGACCTTAAAGGAGCGAATTAGTTGCAGCTTGCTACCCTTAACTAATTACCAAATTAGTTTATATGCATTGTTGTCCACATGATTTAGTGTTATCGGTCATTCGTTTTGAATAAGATCCAACATATGTTTTCCTCTATAACGCTAACGAAACCCATGTTTAAGACCAAAAATGAACATAATTAAATAGAAAACAAGTATTGCATTACTGATTATTAAGGGTTATATGTTGATGCATTCTTCTACAAATTATTACAGCTTTTGAAAAAAAAAACATATTGAGTCTTTAGTCCAGTCAAGGAATGAGGTGTAGAGTGCGTGAGCAGGTAACTAAGCGATTCCTTCAGAAACTTGTTCAGGGGGCTTAGGGTGTTAACATACCAAAAGTCCTGACTCCTAGGTGGTGAGCCAGGGGGTGGAGGGGGGAAAAAGGGGAGGGGGGAAAGGTACTCATTTTGGTTTTTTTGATTATATCTCGAAAACTATCAACTTTTTGTATACTATAGTAAATTATAAAATTGAAGAAGACTAAATTTTCTACAAGAAAAGTATATAATGTGTTTATTTTGGTTCAACAGATTACGAGTTATAACTTATTTAATTGATATCTTATTAAAATCTTCTTCCATAAGAAATACATGTAAATGAGTATGCGAAATGGGGCGAATTCTATCCGCCCAAATGAAATATAAATGATATTCTGGAAATCTTGACAAAATTTCCAGTAATTTAACACTTTAATCATTAAAATTGATCCAAAATTAAGGCGAGGGCGAGGTAACAAAATTTCGAGTTTTGGTGTTTTTTTATTGGAAATATAAAAAAAACCTTAAATCATCCCATTTTTAAACGCTCACCCTCGCTTTAATTTTTGACAAAATTTCATGATTAAAGTGTCAAATTACTGGAAATTTTGTCAATATTTCCAGAATATCAGTTATATTTCCTTTGGGCGGATAGGATTCGCCCCATTTCACATACTAATTTACATGTATTTCTTATGGAAGGAGTATTTTAATAAGATATCAATTAAATAAGTTATAACTCGTAATCTGTTGAACCAAAATAAACACATTATATACTTTTCTTGTAGAAAATTTAATCTTCTTCAATTTTATAATTTACTATAGTATACAAAAAGTTGATAGTTTTCGAGATATAATCAAAAAACCCAAAATGCGTACCTTTCCCCCCCCCCTTTTCCCCGCCCTCCACCCACTGGCTCACCACCTAGGAGTCAGGACTTTTGGTATGTTAACACCCTAAGCCCCCTGAACAAGTTTCTGAAGGAATCGCTTAGTTACCTGCTCACGCACTCTACACCTACTTTTGGATCATTCATTGACTGGACTACTTAGTCAAAATGAATTTTCAGTAACATAGAAACATGGAGGCAACAATGTTAAAATGCAAGTCAGCTGATCGGATGCAGGTCTACCAACTAAAGGCCTACGAGTATTTACACCCTAAACAGTAAACATCAAATCATCCTGTAGCCTACTTTAAGTTCGGGCTGTGTTTAGAAAACACAGTTTGTATTTTATTGGATTATAGCAAACTCCTATCTATGATAAAAGTAAAATATACACAAGCTGTATCTATCATCAAATAATGCTGATCATTCCATACAATCGTTTAAAAGTTTCTTCAATACTATAAACGTTTTAACTTTGTTACGGTTGTATTTTTTTTAACTAAGAATTGCACGTACCTAAAAGATATTTTACAACAACATTTAGAAGACGAAACGCATTTTAGCACTAGTGGTAATAATTAGTCTATAATTGTCCGTAATATGCAATTTGGATTTTAATAGAGTCTTGTAAAATTTGAATTAATACGCCGAGGTTTAATCTTAAAAATAGAGATGTTGAATAACTCAACCATAGAAATCGCAAGGCACCAAATTCCTCATGTCAGTGAAAACGTATAGTCATTAAGTATGTCAATATTTAATTAAAATGTATCTTACAAAATTAGTGCAATGGAAGAAATTAGAAAAATCGAGTATTACATAGAAATGTAATTCTAGTACTCGTTCTTAAAATTATTAAATTGTATTATAATACTTATCTGACTTAATTACTTGTGTTTAATTATTAAATATAACGAATAAATAGAATATTTTTATTTTAATGTTTTGATTCTATATTCTTATGGACATAGTTCTGAGTAAAATATAAGAATACCACAATATCTCTAGCCTGGAGAATTAAACAATGTAGATGGTTGTAGGTCGAGCTAGTAAGGGAAATTTAATACGGGTGTGGGTTGTTGGATGTTGCCTTTTTTATTGTTAGAAAGAAACGTGTGATAAAATCCGGTTTAATGATTCAAGTAATGTGTCTGAGGCTGGATTCATTGTGTTTGAAAGTTAGTCAGCTAGTGCGTCATTTAGTTGAGGTCTAAAACCATCATGAAGAGAATTTCTCGAACGAGATGGTTAGCCTAGAAACTATTAATCGAATGTCACCTTAAAATTGACTGAAATGTATTATACAAAGAGACACAGGACTGAAAAGAGACACAGCTTTTAAAATAAGTATAATTTCTATACTTACAAAAATAAATAATAAAAACGTATAAAAGTAAAAAAAAAAAATCAAATTGGTTAAAAGTCCTTTGTTTCCAACTCACAAAGACACGTCACTTATCGCACTCAAGGCGAATGTCAAATCTGATCTCTACTTCGTACTTGGAACTGATGAAGTTGGGGAAGATGGAGTTTGGAGTGACGAGGAACTGCTTGGCGAGGGTGGAGCACAGTGCTTGCTCCACAGGCTCCACGGAGTCTAAAGTCTGGGAGTAGCAGAAGCTGAAGTGATCCTTGACCACAGTGACGTCACATAGGACTCTGGACACCCTGGACTCCCGCTGTAGCCACTGGACGATCACGGGGATCTGCTTCTTGTAGAAGTTGTTGGTGATGTGCACCCAGAAGAGGCAGTCCTCTACAGCTACCAAAGAGGCTGAGTACTCTTCATCAGAGACGATAAAGTCAGGAGCTCTCACAACAGCTGGGGAAGTAAGGAAAGACTTGGGGTGTGTTGAGGCCACGTGGTCTAGCAGTCCAGTAATTTCATCTTGCCATGAACATCCTCGCACTTTACACTTTTCCATCCTGAACCGACACTCCCTCTCGTGGTCGATGAGCGACTCTCTGTCCAACACTAGGGTGCATCCTCTGTAGGAGTTACGACACTGAGAGGGTAGAAGGTCCATGAGGGCGTTGAGGAACACAGGGTTGATTCGGGAGAAGGGTGCCCTGCAAGTAGGGCAGTGTTGCTGCGTCTGCTTGCACTGGCGACATATAGCGTGACCGTTGTTACATAGAGTAGTAGGGCTGCGTACTCTCTCTAGACACACGGGACACTTGGCTGTACTGTCGATGGTGGCTAACATCTTCTGGTAATCCTCCATCGTCAGCGAGGTCCTGTAACACATACATGAATGGGAATTAATTTACTGTTACCACACTTGCTGCTGTTGTTTTTCAACAATAGAGGCTCTTCTGACAATCCTCCATCGTCAGTGATATCCTGTAAGAAACTAATTTGCTCTTAATGCAAAATATTAATAGCAAATCAATGCCATGTCATGTACTGCTGTTGTTGTTTCGACAATGGGCAATCTTCTGGTAAACCTTCATCGTCAGCGTGGTCCTGAAACACATACATGAAGGGGATTTAACTTACTGTCACGAGACTTACTACTGTTGTTTTTCAACAATAGAGGCTCTTCTGACAATCCTCCATCGTCAGTGATATCCTGTAAGAAACTAATTTGCTCTTACTACAAAATATTAATAGCAAATCAATGCCATGTCATGTACTGCTGTTGTTGTTTCGACAATGGGCGATCTCCTGTTAAACCTTCATCGTCAGCGAGGTCCTGTAACACATACATGAATGGGAATTAATTTACTGTTACTACACTTACTGTTGTTGTTGTTTGAAAAATAGAGGGACTTCTGGCAATCCTCAATCGTCAGCGAGGTCTTGTAACACATGCATTAATTGAAATCAATAAATTTGCTGTTACTACAATGCATTAATAGCAAATCAATGTCATGTGATGTTTGTTGTTTAGACAATGGACGATCTTCTGGCAATCCTCCACCGTCACTGAGGTTTTAAAAACATTCAGATAAATACATAGTTGGCGTTACTGCGTAAACCGCCATTTACACTACGGAGATTTTCTGGTAATCTTCCTCCATTAGCAACTACTTAAAACTAATTATGTGTAAAAATTATTGGTTGCTAATGCATATAATGTTGCTTTTACAGAAAGGTCTGTATGGATAATATTCCTTCTGCCAATTGTTTTCTAAGTATACACAGAATAATTTCCAAGTATTACATTGATCCGTAACATAAAAAATATTATTTTGTATGTCTAATTAAATTTTAATAGCCTTGTTATGCGTGGTTTTTAGTTCCCCTTGAAATCGTCCTCAAATAGTTTTGGCTACAACCCACAAGATTGGAAAATGTGTAGTGACATAAAACAGCTTACAAACAAAACATTTGTGTGATATCTCTGACTCGTCCTTATGTTGAATGACCCATTTTGGTTTCTGTCAAGACTTAATTAATCAACGTAATAACGTACACGAACCCAATGAAATGGAAATTATAAAGTTCCAACGACATTTTGATATCATCAAAAAGTGAGGTACTGTGATAAGATGCAAAAGTACAACATTCAGCATTTAAGAAGCAGTTAGAAGCATTAAAGATCAGCACTGCTGACCTTCGTTTAGCTCGTTGCTGACCTTTGGCTGATCTCTTCTCCTCAATCTGGTCGTCGTTGTAGTGTGAACTGTGTACTCTTTTGAGTTTTGCTAGTGTGTAAATATTTTGACAAAATCGAAAGATAGATAAATTGTACACCTTGGTGGATAAGATTTTTTTAGTCGGCAGGACCACCGGCCATGTTGGATTATCTGCCCATAACGGCAATGTTAATGGTTGAAACATATTACGGCATCGTTTATTAAGGAAAAAAATTGCAAAATATATTATTTCAATGCTATTGAAACCACGAATGTGATTTGCCATCTACTTTTTAATTTCAATTATTTTGTTTAACTACATAAATAGCCTATATAGACTTAAACCGTGATTATTTTCAACTTCTAAACAATAGTTTTAAGAATCTTAAAAATAATTCGCACGGAAAATAAATTTAAGAATCATATACAATTTTCTGCTTGTTAATTAAGCTTACTATGTATGATTAAAACGCATGTTTTTGCTGATCGGTGCTAAGAAAACCATTGTTTAGCCTGGCATCTGACAGACAACAACAATACAAAATTATGGACTCCTGCCGACTCTTAAGAAAACCCAAAACCCACGTTATTTGAATAGTTTTCGTGGCCAATTAAAATAACCAATGTGTTAAGTATAAACACAGAATAAATAATCCGCGGTAGGTAATCAAGTAATCAAGTAATTTATTGGTCATTAAATAATCATTGATTACAATAGACCTCGTCAGAGACACACATATAAAACAATAGCGATACATTATCACAGTCACATTTTAGCATAGGCCTACAAAATAGAAAGGCTATCATATCACAGACGCTACAATAAATAAATAGCTATCTATCTATATATTAATAGGCAAGCATGTTTCTTTAAAACCTTTTTTCTCAGCTCGTGTGCATCGTGGGGTAAATCTACGCATACCGTTAGAAAGCTATTTTCCTGTAGGTGTGCAGAATCCCTTTATAAATTTAAATAGGCTCAAAGATAAGCACTAAAAATGAGTTTAAAAATTTGAAAAAATTAACATGGATCTTATGCGTTGCCATGCTGGTGACGAAATAACAACAAAATATAAACAGAAAATCAAAACAAATGGAAGAAACTCCAATCACATGTTTTATTTACAGTGTGGGGTGAAAATAGAGAAGTGAGTAAGTTTACATTACATATTTTTGGTCGAGTTTCGACCACTGGACGACCTCTCGTACAGTTAAATAGATAGAAAAAAAACATGCATAGAGTTATAAGATTAATACTGAATAAATATAATGACAGTCAGAATAAATATAATGACTAGAATATCATGTTGGCACTTTCTACAAAGAACTCATTCAAGTCATAACAGGGATGGTCCATAAGCCATTCTAACAACTTGTGTTTGATTTGTTTGCTTGATAGGCCTAGCCAGGTGTTAGGAAGGGCGTTTACAATTTTAATAGATACACTGCAGAAACTCCTCTGAACAGTTGCTAATCTAGTATAGGGCCTATCAAGTGCCATCCTGCCTCTTGTCTGATGAGTATGAAAAACACCTCTTTGTGCAAACAGATTTGGGTTGCTCGTTACAAACATTACACATTCAAGTATGTACAGATTTACAACTGTAAGGATTCGTTTTGACCTAAAAAGAGGTTTACAATGTGCGTGCCGCCTAGAGTTAGTTAAAAGCCTAATTGCCTTCTTCTGAATCTTTAATACACTATTAATATGAGTTGAATTTCCCCACAGCAATATTCCATACAGCAAATGGCTTTGAAAAAATGCAAAATAGGCACATCTTACATACTGCGGTGGTACAAAATCTCTTAGCCTCCTAATCAGAAACAATACTCTGGACAACTTACGACTGACACTTTTTATGTGATTCTCCCAAGTTAAAGCACAATCTAGATCTATTCCTAAAAGGTTGACACTTACAGACATTGGTTTCTCATTGTCGGGAATTGCACCTAGCCTAAAAACAATTGACTGTGTTTTGTCTGAGTTCATGTTAAACCTATTTACATTAAACCAGTGCTTTGCGTCATTCAAAACTAATGAAGATAATTGAGTGAGTTCCTTTATACTACAATGACTAGTTATGAAAGTTGAATCATCAGCATACATCAGGGATCTACAGCTCAAGTTATCGTCCAGATCATTTATCATTATTAGGAAGAGCACAGGTCCCAGGACCGAGCCCTGAGGAACTCCTGAGGTGACATTCCTCACAGAGGACTTCATCCCTCCAATCTCAACAAACTGTCTGCGCTCTGACATATATGACCTGAAAAATTCCAGCTCTGCGCCACGAATACCGTAGTAGTCAAGCTTGTTAAAGAGTAAGGAGTGTGGAACACAATCAAATGCCTTACTCAAGTCAACTAAGGTCGCCTGAGTAAGGGCTCCTCCTTCAAATGAGTTTAAGACAGACTGTACTAGACACCTAACGGCATCCGTGGCGCATCTGCCGGCTCTAAACCCAAATTGCCAATTTGAAAGTAACCCAAACGATTCTAAATAATTCATTAATTGCACTTTGACAACTAGGAAATATAAGATGCGCTGATTCGACCCGGATGGCAAATTCACACTGTTTAGAAGTAACACTGGTGAAATACAGTTTAAAAGTGACTACATTTCAGCGTCTAATACTTAACCGGAATTGACTCAACCCGATTTCATGTTTCTTCATATCACGTTTTATGAACCATCGATTTTCACTTCCCCATACTACTTATTTTGTTTATGTCCCACCTTCACATCCTAGGACGCTAGTTCCTATCCCGGAACTGTTTTACACATTAGGTCTTCTTCATACTAGCCCTAGAAGTCCGCGGGATTATCACATGGATAAAATTCGTTGGCGGTTGGCGGGATTTGAACTAGAGACCTCGGGCTCCGAAGCCTCGGACTCTAACCGCTAGACCAGATTGCTCCCTGAGATTAGCACCTCTACTACTAGAGTCCAACAATAACTGATTTAGTATTGCGATTAGACTTGTACCCATACTAATTTAGACTTAACTGAAATATGCGTTATATCATGCAGCCACCCACGTATGTTATATACATGTGTTGTAGTGCCCTGCGAGGAGTGGGCGAGGAGATATTTACAGCGATGATGCAGCAGGAAGGCATGAGCTTGGGTTGAATGAGAATGATAAACAAAGCCGTGGGACGACCACTGCGTCTATTAGTTGACCGCGACCTTGGCCGCTGGATCGGTTACGTTACCTGAGGCGGTTGGGTTACGTTTAATTTCATATCCGGTTTCTAAGATTTCCATCGTCTTAACCTTGCCGTTTCAGACCTACTTCCTCATCTAGCATACTTTGTTTGATTACATGTTTTGACGCTTTTGGAATGTTTATGATTTGTAGAGAAATAGTTTAAAACCGTGGTGTTACTGTCTACCATTGTTCTTTTCGTCTGATACCATCATTAATAAATACGAAAATAAATAAAAATACATCTAATCACACATGAACGATATATTTACACCTATACTGTTTTAATAAGACAGTAAATAACACATGGAAGAAGGTAGTGGTGACAGATTTAGATATAACACCCCATTATCACCAGACCCAATATACGACCAATTCTCATTGATGAGTAACCTCGTTCTAGAATATACAATTGGTAAAGCTTCTAGCAGATGTTTTACTACTTAAAGTTTAATTGTATTTGTATACAACTAAGAAATATTATCTAGTGAAAATACTTTATAGTTTAATAAGTGATTAACTCGGCTCATGCTTTTTAAAATCTGTTTTCTTCCTTTACATTAAATAACTTGGACAAAAATACACACCGAAAATGTTTATCTATAATTTGAATAATATATTTATTTGGCATTTGGAACTGGCAATTCAATTCCACTGAAGAACAAACCAGAAACTTTCAGATTCAAGGGTAAGTAGGGCCTATTGTAACCTATTGCTAGCACCACTACACCACTACTATGCTACACTCACCACGTATGGTCGCCGTTTTACAAGAAAGTATTTAAGTATTCTTGTCGCAAACTATACATTCATATTACTTTATCGTAATACAGTATGAAGGAAATATTTAGATAATGATATTTTGCGATCTGTTTCAGGAAAATACGTTATCTTGACTACCTCCTCAGTGTTTATTGGAATATTAGTTACAAATACAAAATTTTGTTAACGCATACTGTTTTCTATTCCTGAGGTTAAATATAAAATACAAACCCATTTAGCGTTTAGTGTCCCGGTTCAATGAAAGTATGATTGATAAGTACTATATAAACACTAAATATAGGCCTACAAATAATCACAATTTTGTTACAAGTTCAAAGTTGAATGGTCATTCCAGAGGAAATTATCCTTTAGCAGATCATGATTGCAGTTAATTAGCTAAGATTATTTACGCTAATTTATCGTTATTATTTACAATTTATAAAATCTCAATTACCGGTTTATTTAAGCTAAGGAAACGGGCGATCCTAGTCAGAAACAAAGCTACATGGAACATCAAATTTTTTACACTCATCCTTCACTCATATTTTGGTTAAAATACGCACCTAGGTGGTGTCCTCATCTCGATTGGTAATAATAATAATAATAATAATAATGTAAGTAATGTTTTATGTATACAAAGATTTTGGAAATCATTACAATGGAACTAACTTCCAAAGTTTATAGCAGTGACTTTGCAAATCGTTAATATCGTCTATTGTGTCCCTACAACAAATTATAGTGGTACACGATAAACTGAAATGTTTTCAACATTTGGGAAATCAGTAACTCAAAGTTATTTGGTAGTTTCAATTTGTTTAGTTGCACGAAATCAGGCATTCAACACCGAAACACTAAATAATATTTAGAGATAACATTGCAGCCAAAGTACTGTTTCTATAAAAAGCTTGACATTCCTGAGCCGTGATTGATTCACACTTGGTGAGTGAAACTCGACGCCTGAGGAAGATATCCTCCCACGGTCATGGTCGTCGGTCGTTTACCTCTGCCTGGAGATAATGTGAGGACAATGAACACAAGAATTGCACTGAAACATCGCACTATCACAAAGATGTACCTCTTCAGGAGCCCTATCTAGTAGGCTTGCGCGTTGTTTAACTCTTTCAATGCGGCCGTCATGTTTACTCTTGAAAATTGCACTTATCTCAATGATAAGGAACCGGTCGCCGGCGACCGACCCGCACGCAATGTGTTAAAAATAAAAATATTGTGAAGTGTTGCGAACTTTATTATCATTATCATTTGAGATGGGGACGCCGTCAATGTGCGGATTCTAACCCAAATATGAGTGAAGGATGAGTGTAGAATGGTGTGTGATCCCTTGTACAGCTTGTTACTGACTAAGATCAGCGGGTCCATTAGCTAGGACCATTAAAAGCCCAATCGAGGACAGCTGGGTCTAGTTTCGAACTATCAAGCTATACTATTTTCACAGAATCGAATCGATTACTAGGAGCACTATAACCACTGAGCTACCCGGCTGTTTAGGACCAAATGATTCGTTTGTAAAGTTTACCAACAACATTTGGATTCCTTCGTTCGTTTTAGGACTACCTCATTGGTTAGATGATCACAGTCATCCACTAAAAAGTGTTATTAAAAGTTGTAGAAACCATTTTATTACCTATTGAAATGTTCTGATATAATTAAAAAATATGGAAATATTTTAATTTTTTAATAAATGGTAATAAAATAAGATTTATGTTTGAAACATAAAACGCATGAAACTAAAAGAAATCTATTTATATTTATATTGATGAACAACTATAAGGCAAAACACTGGAAAAATGATTTAGTTTTGAAATTAAAAACTGCTTCTTTTACTTATAGGTTATAAATTTCCTTTGATGTTTTGTAGTTTTAAATTGATTATTTATCCCAGGCGAAAACAATTAACATTGAGGCAAACAGTTTTTTTTTCTCACAGAAGAATCACATTAAATGAAAAGCTTGAGGTTTTGTACTGCCAACCCAAGACACGGGCTATATGGCCTTCAGCATAAAGCGTTAGAATTTACAGGCACTCTCTGTGTTACCTGGGCCTGTAAAATAAACAGCGACAAGAAAGAACTTGTCTTTCCTTTATTATTTGAAATGAATGTCTAAAATTAAGAGATCACCGTTCATTTTTTTAGAGTGCAAGATGCTAAATTTAACTAATAGTTATCATCTAACAAGGACAAGAGCAGAGTACTTTTGATGATGATGTATTTAACAATCTTGTAGAAGATATGACAATCTAATCTATATCTCAGCTTACTTCAATTTTGATTCATAAGTGAACCGACAACGATCCGAGCTCAAATTGGATATGTGGATTGGACCGCAAGGAAAATGCAATTTATACTAACAACAAAGTTCTATCAGTGACTATTATAGAAAATCTTCTAAAGGGATTGTTTCGGAATAGTGATATATGTGATGAATTAGGGACAATTCACAACTCTCTTAGGCTACACTGATGTTTTCTAACTGGAAAATAACTATTTTACAACTTAATGAGTAGAAACCCATCAATATGACAATAGTGTTATCTTTACATTTGCGTGGACGTAGAAGAAACACACATACCAAACAATGCAAGCATATACTTACTTCGAAAACTATACACAGCTACAAAACAAAGAAACAACTAATTTTCAACTTGACATTCATAGGTTTTTGTCAAAATCAAACAAATATTGTACCTAATATTATTGACAAAGAGTAATTTAACAGTAAATATTGACTTAGCCTAAACATTATTTCCAAAAGACAAATTTGAATATTTTAACATTATACAGGTTAACGCACCTTGTCTATCTATTATAGAATATCTAGGTATCACTCAAAATCCACTAGATAATCCAAAACTAGAGACGACCAGATAGGCCCTCATATATTCCCATAAACTTTGAAACACACCATACGCGTAAACACACAATAACAACATAAGCTAATCATACAGCTATGCAATATTATACTTACAAACACACATGTAACAAATACTTTAAACACACCAACTGTTAACCTATTGGTGATACGAGGAGCAATAAATTGACTGTTGAAGTTTGATAAGATAAAGAGTGCATGGGTTACCTCGTGTTTGTCTCGTCCATAGCAGCAGCGGCGGCCCCACTCTCCAACACACAGACACACAGACTGAGTAGAAGATGGCCATCTAGCAGCTGCCTGTGTCATGACCCTGACAATGGGTGGGGGAGGGGGAAGGTAGGTACTTCCTAATGACGTCACTGACCCAGTAGCTAATGTCATTGGCATATGTCTGTCAATCCCCTATCATTTATTGCCACTTTTGCAAATTTCTGTATTTACCTATGAAGTGTATTATGAAAGTTCTACTGAACATCAATGTATCAATCTTAAGACAGAAACGTACACATGGGTATTTTTAGAATATGAATGCAAGATAAGTGCAGAATGGATGCAGTCCCTTTTGTAGCTTTTTCATTTGCTTAAGTCTTTTAATAATAGTCTTAAATTAAAAGCTCAATCATCATGGTCCATGTCAACGTCGTTCCGATTTTGACATAGTAAAAAGTTCTAAGCCTTTAATTTTTAACTAGAGGTTTTTATATTCAACTAGCTGGCCCGACAGACGTCGTCCTGTCCTATTGTGGTTTTATGTCACATGCTCGTTCATTTTCAAGATGAGCTCGTTCACATGGCTCAATCACGTCCTGGTTGAAGTTCGTTCGCTACGCTCACTCACCTTTAGGTTGGAGCTCGTTCGCTGCGCTCACTTGCCTTCAGGTTAGCTCGGTCGCTACACTAACTCGCCTGCAGGTTGAAGTTCGTTCGCTACGCTCACTCACCTTTTGGTTGCAAATTAGCTGTTCTCATAAATAAAAAATGAAGTTCGTTCGCTACGCTCACTCACCTTTAGGTTGGAGCTCGTTCGCTGCGCTCACTTGCCTTCAGGTTAGCTCGTTCGCTACGCTAACTCGCCTCCAGGTTGAAGTTCGTTCGCTACGCTCACTCCCCTTTTGGTTGGAAATTAGCTGTTGTCATAAATTTAAATAAAAATAATAGTGCTGCACCCTGTTGGTAATCCTTGTAACTTTTATGCTATTGAACATCAAACATACAAACATACATTGGATTTTATATATATAGATTACATGATTTCAAAATGCATTCTAATAGCCCTTATCTATATTATTTACTTTGAATATGTCATTGGACTTTGAGTGTCTAAAGATAAATGCCACAGACCTACGTTAAATGGTCACGATTTTAAATTTATTTTGTTAGGTATTTACATTTTCACTTGTATTTAGTTTGTCTTAAAATTAAGGAGTATCCGAAACATATACCTATACTTATTACTATATTTATTTAACTGTAGTTGGCCGCTTTTACTCAAGTATGAAAATTTATTAAATAAACGTGACCTTAGGTTTTCCTCCACACTTTATAATTCGTCATGCGTATATATTTATTTTGATATAATTGGTAGGGAATAAAGATAATATACTCTATTTCTATCACATAATAAAGAATTGGCTGTAATGTATTGAACACAATAAATGCAAATATACCAAGAAGGTGTCTCTCTTTATTTCGGAGGGGGGGGGGGTCAGAAATTTGAGTATGCAACTCTGTTAGAAACAAAATATAATATAAAAAAAATTATCATAATAACACGACAAATCTTTTAACCTTGATAGTAGTACTAGTTTCAAACAATGTCCTGATTAATATAGTGTCAAATTCACTGGTGATTCCGTAATGAAGTGTACTATCAAGTTCAAGGTCACGCCAGTCTGGACGCAATAACCCAACTAGGAAGTACCTAGTGTAGGCCTACTCCTACATTATTTAGAGGCTGCACATGGAAAACGTGATAAACTGTGGGAAGTCAAGGTAACTCCGGTTAATCGTTATAACCGATTTAGGTCTGTCTGGTGTATATCGTTTGACGACTGCATAACGTAAATGTACTCACCTCTAGCATGTATTTTATGAATGTGTTTAGTGTGCTGCATAATCTAGTCTTATGTAGATGGAGAAACGAGCATGGTGTGGTAATTATCACCGAATTTGCATGCATTTCCATTGTTGTAAAGGTGTAAGGTACATTATGGATTCAAACGTAGACTATCAAGGTCATGCCGGACTACAAGATATAGACCTGCAGTTACTTGGATGTGCCTAGAGTCTGTTGTTTGGAAGATGGACAGTGTGTTCAACTTTAGATGGTTAAAAGTCAACGTCAGGCCGGACTACAAGATCTCACCTACAGTAACTTGGATGTGGTTAGAGTCTGTGGTTTGGAATGTGGGCAATGTAGTATACTTTAGAAGATTAAGTGTCAAGGTCAGACCGGACTACAAGGTGTCACCTACAGTAACTTGGATGTGACTAGGGTCTGTTGTTTGGAAGGTGGACAGTGTGTTCAACTTTAGACGGTCAATTGTCAAGGTCAGGCCGGACTGCAAAGTATCACCTGCTACGGTAACTTGGATGTTTCTAGGGTCTGTTGTTTGGAAGGTGGACAGTGTAGTCAGCTTTAGAAGGTTAAAAGTCAAGGTCAGGCCGGACTGCAAGGTATCATCTGCTACAGTAACATGGATGTGTCTAGGGTCAGTTGTTTGGAAGGTGGACAGTGTAGTCAACTTTATAAGGTCAAGTGTCAAGGTCAGGCCGGACTGCAAGGTATCATCTGCTGCAGTAACTTGGATGTGTCTAGGGTCTGTTGTTTGGAAGGTGGACAGTGTAGTCAGCTTTAGAAGGTTAAAAGTCAAGGTCAGGCCGGACTGCAAGGTATCATCTGCTACAGTAACTTGGATGTGTCTGGGGTCTGTTGTTTGGAAGGTGGACAGTGTACTCAGCTTTAGAAGGTTAAGGCCACTCTGGCCTTTATCACCAAGCTTACGTCACCCTGGTTGATTAACTAACCCAGTTTCTTCCGCTTTGTTTACATAGGTCGCTTTGTTTCGATTAAAATGCAAAACTAATCGCTTCGGTCATAAAACTGCATAGTCAGTAAATGCTGTTAAGTAAATACATACAGAGAAAATAGTGTATTACAAAATTTTTGTTTAACTTAGATGTGAAATAACATTGATAAAGCTGATTATTGATTTGGCCTCAATCTTATTACGAGAGTTGTATACTGGATTAAGTTGTTTTGTGAAGTTAAAATCGGTATTGATACCGATTTGATACTCATGTCTTACTATTAAATAAATTCTTTATCTAGCACTGATATATAAAACTTAAAGGATATTAAAAGCTAAATGTGAGTATTTATAGCAGTGTTCATAAAAACAAATTGATCACTAGGGTATTACCCTTTGGTTTTTAATACCAATTAATGTATGAAGAGTTTTGTATTCATGTTATTTTGGAAGCTGCTTTAAAATTTTTAATATAACTTCAATTATATATATTAACAGCTAATACTTCAAACAAATCACAAAACCTTGACATGTTTATGTTATTAGAAAATGAAGCTAATTCTCATTGTCGATTGCATGATTTCCATTGATTTTTTCTGAAAAAGTACTCACATAATAATTATATTGTTGATATTGTCGTTAGGCTAAGCAGATTTGTATAATTGGTTTAGATTTTTAATTGTATATAAACAACGTACTTGTGAGTTATATGCTCCTACAGGAAGAGCGATCTGGTCTAGTGGTAGAGCGCGGGACTTAATTTGCCTGAGGTCAGCGATTACATAATAACATTTATGTGTTCGCTGCCTGAGGTTTCAAGTTCAAATTCCACCAACCACCAATAGATTTCATCCATGTGCAAGTGTCGCAAACTTGTAGGACTAGCCTGAAGTAATTTGTAAAACAGTTCCGGGCTAGAACTAACACTCTAGAATGTGAAGGTAGGGCAAAAATATACGTGAGGTAATCAGGCTTCTTAAATTAATTACAAAATAAAATATTATTTCATACGAAAACTTAATAAAGTTCCTATCTACGAGTTTATAAGAGTTATATACTATATTTAATTGAGTTCCATCCTTGATTAACGAGCAATGGAGCATTGAAATATTTCATAATGTTACTCTAAATTAATATTATAGGCTACGAGCGGTTTGGCCCGTCCTACGTACGGGAATCGAGTAGTCTATTAAAACTGAATATGATTCAGAACAGCTAGTTTACAACTTGGTGGCCGATTCACACACACTGCTTTCATTACAGCAGCTACATACCACCTTCCACTGCATAGGCCTACTATCACTTACCTACCTTATTTTACCACCTTTGCCACTGAAACCTCTAAAATGATCCTGGCCTCCCGTTCTCTTCTATCCCTTGCCATTTCTAAGGAAGATACCAGTCTGAAGATGTCTTTCATTACTTGGTCTTCCAAGTGGTCTTCTACCTTGTAGTACTCCTTGGAATACACTTTTAAAAGTTGAAGTATCTTCTCTCCGCCATGCAAAGCCTGCCCAGCCCATCCGAGATCTGAGACTTTTGGAATGTACCCCTTTATCAAGTTTCTGAATCATCAGTACTACTATCAGTACTACTGGGATAGTTATGATATGGTATGAATCGATTTTGGTTTCTACTGACACCCTGCATCTTACTGGTCAGTTTTCTGACCTACTACACCGGTTGACATTTTCATGTGTACTGTATGCAGTCATACTTATATTCAAAAATCTAGAAAAAGATGTATCAACACGTAAACCACTTATATCTTAAAGGATTGAGCACTTATACTTAGACGGATTGCATTTATAACAAAACTTGATTATACGTTTAAAATGTTAAGTTAAAAATTACACAATCTCCTGATAACTTAGATCTTTTACGGTAGGTAATAAACTGCATTTTAAAGTGAAATAGTGTGTAGGCAAACTCTGGATCAATAGTTTTGTATACAAACATCTTGTGACATAAACATTTCAATGACAGTTAGAAACCAGCTGTTAGTTAAACAACCAGTAAAACGACTTTAACTCGTCCGTCGGCTAGACTTTTTGCTAGACTTTTTGAAAATTAAAACTTAATTTCTAAAAAAACTGGGACCCTAAACTAAAATTATGGCTTCGACATTCAACACAAAAATCATGAAAATCCGTCAAGTGGTTGATTCAGAATCGTGAAATAAAAAAAAAACAGTTTCGTTTTAATATTATAGATTACTTCGATCCAATCATTTTAAATGTACATCAAAACTGTTGGGTTTGGAAATATGTCAATTTTTTTAGAACTAATGAAATCAGATTGTAGTTTAACACATTTATAATTATTGCTACAAAATGTTTAGTTTAATTAATACTGCAAATCTTTACTGCAATTCATAATATTTTACTTTTGTTTTAAACTTTACATAATTACAGAAAACTTTGTACAGAAAACTTGAAAAGTTTGTTTGTTAAACTGGCAACATTTCTAGTTTAACAAACTCGATGTGATGTGCTGTCTTAACAATTAAAGTTTGCTGTCAACTAAAAGGAAAATCAGCGATTTTCTAAATGAGAATATTTTATATTATTCTACTTGGTTTTTACATGTGTATGCCATTGTTGCCTTGAATGATTGAACTAAAAAATAACAAATGAATATTGTTCATACAATCTCTTTACTTGAATTTGTAAACATTTCTTTTTATGAGTTTACTTATAATTACCAATTTAAATATATATATATACATAAAAATAATAGTTTAGTTACGTTACAATTAACAACATGAAACAAACAAAAGATAAGGAATGAGATGAAAAGAATTGTTTTATCATAGCATGTCGGTACACGATCACATATTACTCAATTAAAACCCTATCATAAAACTATAACAAACTATCGATTTTGTCAGTATTCAATTAGTATCGCCCCAGGTGACTGAGTCAATGTTGGACGTTGATTATTATGCTGTTTTATATCCTCTGAGAAATATAACCTGAAGAAATTGGCAGTTTTTATTATTTTCTGACAAACGAACATTAAAGATATATCTAAAGTAAATAAAATGTAAGTACATTAAATTTGAACTTTTATAAAAAGTTATGAAGCTTGAATGATAATCGGTTGTTTTAATTATTTATTCTGCTTTAAAATTAACAAGTTGACACTTTTTTTAAAGAAAAAAAGTCAAAAATTGCCGGTGATATTTAAGTATTGGTTTTAATTTAACACGATAAGTGTAATCTGACACATGTATAAAGCCAATACTTATTAATTCTTCCTCTTCGAAATTGTTTATTAAGAGTTGCAGAGGGATTAGAAAGTGGGGTATTTTAACCCTAAGAGAAATATCAATAACTTTTAGCGAATTTTCATAAAGGGAAGTAGCTATTACCGTAGGTCTCATGGGAAGATTGAGCCCGGGACCGATTTACTTTTTCATTTTTATTACCCCTAGAGACAACAAAACACTATTCGTTCAAATTTGTATATACAGTATGTCTATATATATATATGTGTCCGTGAACGCGATAACTTGAGTACTTTTTCTTCTATTTTGATGAAATTTGGTTTGAAGGCGTAAGGAAAGATGAAACTCAACGAGTTCGAGAACTAGCATGGACAGACAATGGGGACGGGGGGTTGCAAGGGGTTGTATGGGGTAAAAATTGGGTTTTGTTCTTTTTGACAATCAAAGCACAAAATTCACCAAATTTCTCTAGACAATTTTTGGGAACTTAAAAAGACAAATAATTTAGTAAATTGAAGTGTTTTGTGCGGTTATTGGTTTCGGATAAAATTCAAAAAATTATAAATTTATAATTCCCATGTTATTCTTATGGAGAATATCGTATAATGTTTGCTTGTTTATAGATATATTTTGATAAAACTTGGCAAATGTATTTATTTTATACTCAAACTAACTTTGTCAGCCTCCCTGTAGCAGCAAAGCTAGATACTCGTTTAACCTAATGTAATTTATGTATTTTTTTTTATTTTATATAAATTTAGGTTAATGGGAATTCGCTTAACCTGCAGGTTTGCTGCGGCGGGGGATTACGCATTATTTGTAAAATTAACAAAAATAACGTGACAAACAATGATCGCTATGCAACAACAAAAAAATAACGTAACAGATATGGTGAATGAATATACACGTAGACGGAGAAAAGAGCAAGTAGGTTCAGACAGATAAGACCTTTTTCACGATAATATTATAAATGTATGCAGTAGATAAAACATGAAAGACAAAGTTGGTCTGTTATCTCATGGAAGCAGCAGTGAGATATTGTTTCTCTAAAATACCATCTCCTCTGCTATTGGAATCTTACATCAAGCGGGGGTGAGTGATGACACTGATCATCTTATACCTACCCCTAATACGGTAAATCCATACTCATACCTAGCGTGCTATATGATGCTGTAAAATTAAAATATTTCAATTTGTAGTAGTCGAACAACTATCACAAGGAAGGCTATTTTTCAAAATATAATCATATATTATAAGGATAATATAGAGGTTTCCTTAATAAATACGGTGTCAAACCAATATTAATAATTGCAGTTGAATATGCTAATTTATTATTAACGTATAATATAACAGCGGAGCTTTACTAAAGAAGAAACTTTAAATAATAATATAATTGTACGATTACCTCGTCACAGCTCCGTAGTTTCCGTATACATTACGGCCGTTTCGGCATCAAAATGCCATCCTCAGATACATACATCCACCGGATTTGGCGTCGTCAAACTTGAAACACACACGTAACACGATAACAAACATTTAAAACATAAAAACGAAAGACAGGCCTGTCGCGCACATGATGAGTACGTGTACGGAAGCTGACTGCAAGTATCAATAGGGTTCACGATAAATGTTTGTTATCGTGTTACGTGTGTGTTCCAAGTTTGACGACGCCAAATCCGGTGGATGTATGTATCTGAGGATGGCATTTTGATGCCGAAACGGCCGTAATATATACGGAAACTACGGAGCTGTGACGAGGTAATTGTAAAATTATATTATAGTCATCAATTCAGCTCAGGGGCTAAACCATGTCTATTGATCTTTAAATAATGATCAAATGTTTAACTATATAAAGTTGAGGGTATAACCGTTTCGATCATGAGAATCCATTAAATTAACAAGGGGGTTTAAAAAAAAATTAATGTTTCGTTAACAGTTTAAAGGAGAAAGGTAAATTATTACATTTATATATTCATACTAATTGTAACCTTTTATTATCGAAATAATATTCTTCAAAAGTCATGTAAAATATTAATTTTCTTATGTATACTATAAGTTTACTATAAGGTGTTAGATTAATGAAAAATACAATAAATTAAGATATGGTAACATTTCGTCGTAGTATACAATAATAATATACATTACAATACGATACTGCCAGAAACCTTTCTCGTATGAATTACCAAACCAATCAGTGCTAAAAATATTGGACCAAACAATTTAAATCCGTAATTTTTCTAAAATACTTGACTACCACAGTACTAAAACCTTATTTAACTGTAACAAGCATGCATGATTACAAATGTAAAAATATTAACAAACATATTGTATTAAACCGAATGCTTTCGTAAGCTATTAAAAACCAACCTCTAGAGAAAATAAATAATTTAGGTAAAGACCGAGAGCTTAATTGAAAAGTGGTTCACCACTGAATGCTCCCTTTTGGCCGGTCTGTTGGTTGTCAAACAAAATGAGAAACTACCACAGGTCCAACCCAATATCTTGATTATAATGTAACTATCTTTTATTGATTGACATGACTTTTGTCATGGTAATATAATAAAATATATTTGTATACTCAAATTATGTAATGCCGATTTTCTGAATTAACAGAATGTAATTAATTGTTACTTCTAATCTTGTAACATAATTTATATTATTTACTAGGTAGGGATTTCTTGACTTCTTCCTATAGAATTATAATAATTATTGCTTAATTTATTGAAGGGTTTTTATCAGATGGAAGATAGCTTAACTCGTTCAACCAGCTTAACTAGGAACACCTAAACAGACTTGACTTGTGCTAAGCACAGAGTAGTATTATCAACCTTCATTTGCCAGTCTATGACTTCAGTAATTGACTTTGTGATAATGAGCGCATCAACGTCAACGTTAACATAATAGGAGTAAAATACATTATGTCTAATCCGACAGTAGAACAAATAGACAGATTAATAATCTTCATCTCTTGCAAAACTGTTTATCGAGCATATCAACCAACGCAAAAAGCATAACATGCAATTAAGCAAATGAATGTAATGGATAAAAAATATAAAACTCAAGCTACAGCTGATATTCATGAAAACCGTTTGCAACGCATTTCAATGTAATTCGGTTTACATATTAGATCCAATTATTAAGATTTCATAATTTGCACATAAAGTTGGTTTAGTAGCTTGCGCGCTGGAGTGTCATTTCATTTTCAAAATAGTTAACGCAATAAGTTAAAGTTTCTACTATCGTAATTTATGTTCTCCATAAAAATATATCCGTTTTTTACAGAGAAAGGAGGTGAAGGTTTTTCAGGGTTTTGAGTATATATACAGGGTGTTTTTTTTTTTTAACTTGCATCTTTATTTATGTAAAAACAGCAATAGATAGAAATATGCAGTTTGCGGGAATCATCTATTGACGTAGGGAGCCCAATTGTTTTGAATTCAACGTTACATTCACATTCCCCCCCTTTCCCCCCTTCCCACAACTAAATTTTTTTTAATAGCAAGGTACCCCTTGTGACATATCAAATAAAAGAGTATGAAAAAAGAAAATGTTTGATGAAAAAAAAATTAAAACCGGTTCATAAATTTGCGAGATATTCCCCCCCCCCTCCCCGGAACTTAATTTTTTAATCGCAAGGTACCCCTTGTGACATATCAAATGAAAGAGCATGAAAAAAGAAAATGTTTGGTGAAATTGTTTTTTCATTTGATATGTCACAAGGGGGTTACCTTGCAATTAAAAAAAAAAGTTATGGGTAGGGGAAAAGGGGGGGATTATCTCACAAATTCATGAGCCGATTTTCAATCTTTTTCACCAAACATTTTCTTTTTTTATGTTCATTCATTTGATATGTCACAAGGGGTACCTTGCGATAAAAAAAATAAGTTCTGGGGAGGGGGGGCGGCAATATCTCACAAGTTTATGAACCGATTTTCAATTTTTTTTCATCAAACATTTTCTTTTTTTATGCTCTTTTATTTTATATGTCACAAGGGGTACCTTGCTATTAAAAAGAAATTAGTTGGGGGCAGGGGGGAAGGGGGGGAATGTGAATGTAACGTTGAATTCAAAAAAATTGTGCCCCCTACGTCAAAAAAAGAGTCCCGCAAACTGAATATTTCTATCTATTGCGGTTTTTACATAAATAAAGATGCAAGTTAAAAAAAAAACACCCTGTATGTAGAACCTTTGTTTATTAATTCAATAATTAATGACTATTAATACTTCAGTATCCAATAGTCAATGGTAGAAAGTAAGAATAGGTACTATAACAGCTATAATGTAGGGTAAATAGCTCGTGTGTACATTTAATGAAGTAATGTTTCCGAAAACCCAATTAACTGGTCTCTACGTACCACTGATCGTGTTGCAAGACAATATTATTGGTCTGATATCAAAACTATCAATCAAGTTCATATTTAAGAATAACGTTTTTAGTTTATTGATAGCCAGTAATATAAATGCTACAAATATACTAATTGTTATGTTATGTTAGTATATTTATGTAATATTTATAGAACATTACAAAACTTAAAAAGCATCTGAGAGAAACACTGTGATTTGAACACATAAAATAAATTAATTTCAGGATTAAGAATGAATAATGTAACAAAGGCTAGTAAATATACATTAAGAAAATCAATCCATATTTTTTTAAGAATTTCAAGGTTTGAATTAGCTATATAGGAATTCTTATTTCAAATTCCCTTTATGCCTAATATTAATGCGTTCAAATATGTAGCCTACTTGAATAAAGGTTTGACATTGTAAGCAGTACTTCTTCTGTAGGACATTTTAAGTTGAAATTCGTATGCTTGAGCTAATCCAACCATATCACATATCCTTCATTAAATAAAAATTGTCTTTATATTTTTACATACACGTGAGTCATAAGGAGTTTCACTTAAACTATTAAAAATGTTAAGGGAATCTAAGTGGTGATAGTGCTCGCCTGGTAATAAAAAGGTCGACAGTTAGATCCTGAAAAAGTGAATCTTTTTCAAATTGGCCTGCCCCTGTCCTTTATCACTGGGCTTTTAATTAATGGTCCTGTGTAATGAAACAGCTGGCATTAGTCAGTAACAAGGCTACACAAGGCGAAGGCATCCACTTCATTATACACTCATCCTTCACTTATATTTGGGTTGAAATACGCATCTAAGTGGACTTCCTACTTCAATTGTTAATTAAATTGATATAACAAATGTATATTCCCTTTACAACACAATAATACATATCTATTATATATATAAAAGGCAAAGCCCTCACTGACTGACTGACTGACTCACTCATCACTAATTCTCCCACTTCCCACTTACCTAAGAGGCTGAAATTTGGTACACTGATTATTTAGGCATTAAATAGGAAAACTAAGTGGTTTTTATTCTGATCGGACTCTCGGGCTCCGCCCCAGTGGCTCTGGAGTTTCCCATGTTAACCTTATGAGTACTCATATTTAAATGGAATTAATGAATCTTAACAGCTGTTTCAATTAAACAAGTTGGTTCTGTTCTATGATGTTCAATAGCATTAAAGTTACAAGAATTACCAACAGGGTGCAGCACTATTATTTTTTTTTTTATTTATGACAACAGCTAATTTGCAACCAAAAGGTGAGTGAGCGTAGCGAACGAACTTCAACCTGGAGGCGAGTTAGCGTAGCGAACGAGCTAACCTGAAGGCAAGTGAGCGCAGCGAACGAGCTCTAACTTAAAGGTGAGTGAGCGTAGTGAACGAACTTCAACCAGGACGTGATTAAGCCATGCGAACGAGCTCACTTATGAATTAAAACGGGGCAAAGCCCGCGGGTACAGCTAGTATCTATCTATCTATACTATTATAAAATTGAGGGGGTGTCAGTCTGTCCAGCTGCCACGACTAAATGACTAAACCGATACAGCACAAATTAAGCTCAAAGATTGTCCACATACCTAGGAATGTCATAGGAAAATTAACTTCCCTGAGTTCTTCTCGGGCTACGCCCCTTGGATGTACAAAGTTTTGAGATGAGGTTTTCAAAAGTAAATAATAATTGTCTCCATGGAAGTATGAGAAAATTTGCAATCTTTATTTACCTTTGCGTTGACATTTCAAAGCAAAAATTCAGAACTGCTAAATGTTTATTTCACAGTTTCTGACAGCTTATCCATACAAATTAAATTAAATATGTACACGACTATGTGGTAGGTATATTTAATTCATTGATTATGGAAAAGGATTCTATAACCATGAAAATTATGAAAATTATGTTATTGATATATTTTAATGTAAACAGTTGGACAAATAAAAATACAGTGTAGGTCATACTTTTTTGGTGGCTCTTTGTTTATGAAATCGATCTACACAGACACGTATACCTGTGGGAACCCCAAGCGAGATGTTTACCGTGGGTGTGGGTGTGGGTGAGACTGGTGAAGATTCGTTCAAACACGGCGGCGAATGAGACATGCTCGAACCCCGGACCTGCGGTCTCCACGGTAAACACACAGTCGACACCTACACCACCACTACGACCACCAGGGGGAGTGTTAAGGGGTATGGTAAATCTTCCCGTTGCGAAGCACGCGTACATCAGCTAGTTATCAAAAAGTCTTACAAATGTATTAGTAAATAATCTATCATACAACAATAATAGAGGAGTTTTTTTAGTACAAAGATTGTTTTTTAAATCCATAATTATAGGTCCACTTAACTTTTCCGATGAGTCCGTTAGACTACGATCACTTAGGGTTGGTTAAGTGTTGGTTAGTCAAGGTTATTTTGTTAGCTTCTAAATACGTAATAATTTTCTCCAAAGAAAGTCTATTTGATTTATTCCGCATAATACAAGACATCTACTTTACCTAGTAACCGCATTTTGTTCCTATCAACCAGAAAGTTTTATAAAGTATCTTTATAACATGTGTTTCTTAAATAGTTCGACTAAGTGGTTAGTAATGCTACGTTGATATATTTCAAATAATTTAAGAACCCAGTTGGATTACCTTATGTCACATCACAATTTTACAACTCTCCCTTTGCTCAGAACAGTGTAAAAGTAATTAAGCTGTAAATAAAAGGTCACTTTGAACTTACAGCACTCGTGTTAAACCTCTCTTTGTTAAGACCTTAAACATTTGTTGAACAACTCCCAGGCGATAAGACCTTTTAAGTTGTTAACTCTGAAGTAGACACCAAACAACAGGAGGGTTCAACTTGTCATTAAAAGCATCAGGTTAAGGTGTATTTACTAATAAATTTACCACTGTCAGATGTCGAAAATAAGATACCAATAATACCGATAAGATTTAATCATTATATTTAGTTTAAATATTATGTTTTAGTTCAATTTCTGTACCGGTAAAACTATTTACTATAAGCTCATAAACATATTTTTATAAAATATAAAAAAATTGGGAAAAACATTGGAACAGTATATAAATATCAATATCTCATCGTCATTGCGTTTCTTAATAAAAACAACCTTGTCTGACCAAAATTTATGAATTTTTATTAATAGACTACTCGCACACAGCTTAAACTGTTAAGAAAAATGCTAAGAAACTTAACATCTTGCATGTAAAGTTCCTTTGGCGAATGAATGCTGAAAAACACCACAGAAATATATAACTGCCTTTATCTGCGTTTACACTAAACTCTCCAAATAACAATAGAGAAATCTCCTACCAAAATATTGACAAAGACTTACTGTGTGGATTGAAACAAAATATAACGTCCAATCTTCAAAGCTGAAAAATGTATAGGCCTAAACAGTATATTTGTTTTTCACTATGCATTTAAACACTATTCAATACTTTCAAAAACTTTCAGACTTATAATTTAAAAATTAAATTACCCTACGGTATTTAATATATGGTATTTAAAAACGTATAAAAGCATTTCCAGTAAACAATAAAAAAATATCAAATAGCATGTTGTATCGAGTCAAATCTATGATCTATTCTCCCATAATGTTTGATGCAAGCAAATATACATCTTGCGTTTTGCATAATTTATATTATTAGTATATTTTTATAGTTTTTTTTATTAGCATGTAATAAAAAATGCACTACTTAATACTCTACGGTAATTTAAAAACCTATCATAAAACGATATAAAATTAATTATCGACGCAATCTGGATTAATTATAATTGCCTCAGGTACCAAGTTCATTTAAGATGCGGTTTATGATGTAGATTTTACGTTTCAGTATATTTTTCCCAATGTGTATAGTATAACAAATAAGTAAAATGCATCGAAATCGTTGCCAGTATAACTTTAGCGTAGTATGTAAGATAGCTTGGAAACCAAAAATAATTAATTGTCTATTACCACCAATACGGGGAGGACCTTTTTACAAACGCGAAAATCACCATTTTGTCATTATTCAATTTGAAAAGACTTGGACTCTGCAGCGCATAAATATTATACGAATGCCAAAGTGAAGAAAAGGGAGTTTCAGCAATACAAATAACTTTCATATGGTAAAAAATACTATGTGTTAAACAGAGGAAATACTGAACTATTTAGCAACCGTGGGTTAGTGTTTCAACTACGACCACGGAGGCTACCCTCCAAAACAACGTGGAAGAACATTGACGGTCCCGCCAAGTATAAATTGCGATCCGTGATTAGTTCTCTGTGTTTTTAGTGTTCAACTGCTAGTCCAATCGTTATATTCATAGATATATGCAAACTTTAACTAAGTAAACATTGAAATTAACATCCATGAAACATTTTGCAAGGAACATGATGTTTCAGGCTTACAGTATTATAACTTACAGGTTTACCTAGTTGGTATACCAGCTTGGTATTAAAAGTTCATAGCTCAACCCCTTAGTCAAAAAACGTTTAGTCGACCTTCTGCCTTAAACAATAAGCATTATCAGCGGAAGTGGGAAGCAGTGATTTTCTAAAAATGGCTATTTCCTAATGATAAACCTACTTTTCTATATCTTGTGACATTCTTGTCAAGGATTTCCATTAGAGATAAACAATCTTTATTTCAGTGTAAAACTTTCATATTTCAATTTACGGTAAGTAAATTGAAATAGGAAACTTTTACACTGAAATAATCACATTTGGCTAGCCCGTCAGTATCTTAATTTTGCAGTCTGCATTATTATAGTTAAATGGTACTGTATTTATCTACTTTGTAGAACCCGGCATTCAGTTATGATACATACTACTTAGAAACTTAATGGACTAACAGTCATTAAAACAAATGTCAGCCATATTATCTGATAATGGGGAATAAGTCTCGCAATGATATAAAGTAAAACTTAAACTATTTACTGGCAGGAAATAGATACATATTTACTTATTAGTCAATTAGGGGTAAGCCCAGATAATAAAACCAGAACAAACAATCGACGCCAACAGTATTCAATTAGTATCGCCCCAGGTGAATGAGTCGATACTGGACGCGGATCGTGCTGCTGTTTTATATTCTAGGAGGAATTTTACGGGTTTGTATTGAAATTTATTTATACTTTTATATAAAAATCTAATGGTATCTGTCTGTATGTGTATTGCTAATAGGTACAAAAACTACTGAACCAGTGGCCCAGTGGCTTAAATGTTACAAAAATATAGTTACCATACCAAGGCCCATTATAGGACTATTCACATTTCGATACTGACCGTAGGCTTTACCTCTTTGGCTTTAAAAGTTCTGATGTGAACATTTTAAAAGTAAATATTGATTGGTTTCCATGGCTGTGATGAGAACACTAACAATGTTTGTTTGCATTTGCTTTGAAATTTAAATGTAAACAAGAAGAACTGCTAAACTGCATATTTTACAATTTCAGACAGCTGATACAAAGAATATAATAAAGAAATATAATATTTTCCATAACTATGAGGTAGTTTTTTTATAATATAACCTTTTATCAAGGATTATTTATTCTAAAACTATGTCAATGATTATAGAAAAAAAGATTCTATAACCGTCGCTGTATCAACTCCGGCTCTGCTTTGGATTTTTTAAAGCGTCTAAATTATGAAAATAATGTTATTGATATGTTTTCATGGAAACAGTATGAAAATTACAATGTATAGATGTTTTGTATGAATTTGGAGGCTACTTTAAATAAATTGTAACTGCTTAACATGTATTGGATTAACTTAACATAACTTGCACATCATATTGTTTTTTATGTAGATTTAGGTAATTAAGTTATTGTGTTTTGCTAAACCTATGCTTAAATCAAACTAAAGAATATCATATATAACTAAATTGTGTTGATTTTTGTTTTCTAAAATCTGTTGTATATGTGTAACTATATTAAATTATCAAATGGTAATACAAATAATCTTATTTTATCTTAACATAGCTTTCAGTTCACATTTAATTTATTTGATGCATTTATTATTTGTGTTTTGCAACACCACTGATTAAATTAAATCAAGGAACATATCATACAACTAAGCAGTACACAGTGTTCTTTGTTTCTAAAATCAATGAAATATCTGTTACTATGTTTACTTAATGGTAAGTGTGAAAATGTAAATGCAATGGGTGATGAAACTGATTAAAAGAACTGGTTTGTATATTAAGTTGTTTGTTGATATTTTTGTAGAATATAATCAGAGATGCAATAAAACATAATATACTGTATTTGCTATTACATTTTATTAGTCCTTGATGATTTGATAATCATGTTAGTTTTGTATGCTGTCTTTAATGCTAAATTATTTGTTTAAAATTTTTTATAGTACCTATAGATATAGTTTCTTAATATTTCAAAAGATTGATAAGGCACAGCAACATTTCTAAAGTTTATAACAGCTGACTTAGTTCTGCTAATGATTTATTGTGAGTGAAGAAACTGAAGATTGAAGGATTTGTGATTTAATATAAAGAAGAGTGAAATTTAAAAAATGTCCATTTAAATTTAATAATTAGTATTTTTGCAACTTCAAAATTGAAATTTAAAATGACAATTAAAAGATTTGTAAGAAAAGGAGATGAAGGTAAATCTTGTATGTCAAAGTTTTATTCCAAGATTTGGTCAGTTTTTCTCATATCAGCCTACACAAGATTTAAAATTAATCAAAACCAAAATGGTGGTATCCACTACTTACCAGATTTAAAAGTCATAACTTAAACGTTTCTATTAAGGCCATAAAAGTTGAATTTTGTTTCTAAAAGCGTTGGCGGATGTAACTATTATATGCAACGGATGTAAAGATTAAAATTTTCTATTTTCTGTCCTCTTCCCGTTGCAAAATACGGGTACAACAGCTAGTTTTATATATGTACATGAAATTTGGCATTAAAGATTTTAAATGGCCGCCATATTGAAATGGCTTGAGATATTGAAACGAAACTTTGTAAGCCCTTATTACCTACTAAAATACATATTTTAACCCGTTTTGAAACTCTATCTCGAAAAATGCCCAAGATATAAAATAATTCTTAAAAATCACAAAAAGAAATCCAGGCATTTTAGACCATACTTATACGACATTTTATGTTTGTCTTAGCCCGAAGAACAAGTCCAGAAAATATGTCGAGACAATTTGGAAATAACCTGTATTCAATTTTAATATTTAAGAGACTGTTTAATATTTAAGCATAGATTGGT